CTCCCTTTGCTCCCACAGCTGGGGAGAGAACCCAGGAATCCCAGCTCCTATTCCTTGCATGCCCATCTTGCCCCCACCCCGTTCCCAGAGCTGGGGAGAGAATGTAGGAGTCTTGGCTCCCAGGCCCCCTTCCCCTGTTCTAGCCACCACTGCACAGACTCCCTTTCAAAATTGTCTGTTTTTCATGGACTTAGAACTGGGTTGTAGAACTTCTCTTAAGGTCTTGATGGCTCCCCCAAAAGAGATGCCTGATGGGGGGCCAGCAGGACAATGCATCTCGAACATTGAGTCTCCTGCTTTGTCCCCCAGCTGTCAAGGCTCTGTTTGGTATCACCACTGGCTGAGAGAAAGGACCCATCTCACTCCCCATACACTGGAACCCCAGGTTGCAAACCAAACAGAGCAGGTGTTCAAACTTTTTATTCCCTTAACCTCACATTCTACTCCTCGTCCCCCTGCTTCTCCACGGTTATGCTCACAACCTCAACTCTATCCTAGAATCCTTTATGCTGCTAAGAGGTGGGTCAGGTGCTTGTTAGGGTGCTGCTAGTGTGTGAGGAAATGAAAGCAGACTTGCATGAACCACAGATTGAGAATCATTGAAACAGTTTGTGCAGGTCTTACTTACTTAACTATTAACCCTAGTCAGTGACCTTAAGTGGATGGTACTCTTCTTAAGAATTAGATACAAGTTATTGCAAGTGGTTATTTGCATTTCAAAATAAACACTGATGTTTTGGACTAGTTCTTAGTTGCCCTAACAGACACACACACACAATGCCAACAGAGTGCTAGTTGCTTTACAGACAGATATGAAGATAAGGTGCCTGTTCCAAAGATCTTCTACTAGAAAGGGAAAAAAACCCATCTCTTATGTATATGCCATAATTGCTTACCATGATGAATACTTTCCAATCTATGTTTTAAATCAGATCATGGTCCCTTGCAGACCTCTTCCTAGCTGATCCTGCAGTAAAATCATGATGCAGTGTTTCTACTACCACAGTTATTTCCTTGACAACTGATAATGTAAGTACTCGATTGTGACTTCACTGCAGGATGAAGCAGAAGGAGAGGATGTGTTTTCACTAATGACTAAATCACATAGGAAGTATTTATATTTTTTATGTATAAGGTGACCTGCAAATCAGTATGATAATGCTGATTCATTAAATAAAGCTACTCACTTGTGCAGCACCTCAATAAGGCAGGTATTGCATGTCTTAGAGATGGGTGAAATAAGCAATAGGTAAGGGACTTGTTTAAGGTCATACAGTGGGTCAGGGTAGAAGAAGGAATAGGACACAGGTGTCCTAATACCCAAGTTGTCCACTACTCTTTCTAGTAGGTGACACCCTTGCATTTGGGAATATGTGCTGACTGCTCCAATTAAGAAGGCTAGCAGGAAAATATTCAGCATATTAAAGTACTGACTGTTCTTCCTAGCCTGACTGTTAAGGGCATTTTGTTAAAATTGATAAAGTTTTGTCAGATTGAGTTGCAGGATATATTTAACCAAGAGACACCAAGACATTTGACTATTTAGAAGCCTTTAATCAAAATGGAGTAATATTTCTGTGTTTTAAGTGTGTGTGGAAACTTCAATAATTAAAATCCCCAGTGTGCTATTGAATGCTATAAATAGGGTATAATAATTGCAGCGCTTTCCAACTGCACAAACCTCCTGATCTAAGGAATTCTGATAGACTTGACATTTCTAGGACTGTATTAAAAAACCCTAAGATGATACTGTTTTTATAGACTAAGATGTTTCCCCTCATTAAGCTACACTAATGATAGCAAGGTACCACCCATTCTGATTAGGACTAAGGTTGACCATGATTTCCTTTCTCTCCTGCACACACTATACCTAACAGCTGTGTGATTTTTTTTAAAGACCCCATTTTGTGTAAAATTAAATCCTGGTAGGTCAGTCTTGCTCTGTACATACTTGTTTTAGTCATCTTTTTATAGCTATAGCATCAAGGAACAGTATCACATTCACATAAGTCTGCAAGCATTTAAGCATTCCCCAAATCTTCTCTATTCATGTGTGAGGAGTAGTTCAGACAGTTATCCTTTGTTTCAACTAAGGTTGTCTAAGCAACCAGTTATTGACAATAGTAACTGAGCTGGAGGAAAGGGAAAATTGTTACCATAACTCATTGCTGCTATGCTTTGAAGAATTAAGAGTTGCTTTATGGTTTCTGCAATAAAACATTGCATTCCCATCTTTTAGTTTTTAGTGCCACCAAGTGGCCAGTTTGACTTGCTCATTAAAACCACTCAAAACTATTTCCATTTTCCCCCCTTTCTCATACCAGTGTAGATTTATTGCTAGTTAAATGTTAACATTTTTCATCAACTGTGTTCAGGACATACAGTTCACATATTCAAGTAGTCATTCTTTTGAGCCAAATAAGTAAATATTTAAAGCAAAACAAAGACATTTATTATCTTAACGTAGAGCCCAAGGAACAATGCTGTTTGATAGCACTAGAAATCTGAAGTCATGTGTGGTTGCAGTGCAAGCTTCCCTGCACTTTCAGGCCTAGAAAGATCGAAACCCTGACCAGGAGGGATCATCTCTAGGCTTCAAGCGTTCTGTTTTCGTAGCCCATTTGCTCCTTCACCTGCTGTCTTAAATTGTCACTGTCCATTTTGATGTGGAAACACACAGTTGTGAAGGGAAAAATGGAAACCGATGAGGAGCAGGCATGAAAATCACTAAGGAAATCACAAAAGTTTGATGACAGGAGCAACTTATGGCAAACAGCAGAGCACAAAAGATTCTTAATTTGAAATCAAGTAGATCATGTTAAAACAAGATATTTTCTATTTCAGGTTCCAGTCAAGAGGAGGTTTTGTTTCAATTTCTTTATGAATGCTTCAAGTTTGTTTCATTCCACCATCTTACTAACCAAAATAAATACATTGTCTTGGAGGCCATGGCTTTGGAGGCAGCAAAAGTTTTTATCCCCCCGACTGGCTGTACCTTTATTCCCGGTAGCAGGAAAGAAGAATTCTTGTGATCTTCTTGCACTAAGTGAAACAGACTTAGAAGAACAGTTTGTAAGAGGTGATGGCCCAGGAGGTCAAGCAACTAATAAGACAAGCAACTGTGTGGTCCTGAAGCATATTCCATCTGGGATCGTAGTCAAGGTAATTAATTTATTTGGTTCCATTAAATAATTGAAACCAGCATAATTATATTGTGTTTATTTTGACAAAATATGCAGAATTTTAAAATACTGTGTGCAGAATTTTTAATTTTTGGTGCAGAATTCCCCCAGGAATATAATATAATTAGAATTTAAAGAGCTAAATGATAGCATTTGTGTTACTTTGTCCCAGATTTTTTTTTTTAAGGCAATCCTTTCATGATACCATTCATAGGAAAAGTAGGCAGCATCAAATTTGCATTCAAATGTTACATCCAGTTAAAGGGATCCTGAAATTTTCCTCTTCAATAGCTCCTATCATCTAAAGAACTCCAAAGTACTTTCTAAACTGTAAGCTTTCCAACGTGTTATGCTGTAAGGAAATTTCTCTATTTTACAAATGGTGAAATGGAGGGACAGAGCTTAAGTGATTTTTCCAGGGTCCTAGAGCAGGGAACAAAAATCAGGACTCCTGGCTCTCCCTTCCCTGTTACAAATGCTAGATGAGACTACAGATCCAATAAGTTTGGTACAAACTGAGCATACCTATTGCTCCTCAAATTATTCATGAGTAAGAATAATTTATTAACTAGGGGCTGGCCATTTATCCTTATGAGACAAATTTTTGCTCACTAGCTATAGCTTAATGTCTTCCTTTTACTCAGTATAATTTAAATTCAAAAGTAACTTCAAAGGAATGGAGGAGCAATCTTCAAGTCTACCAGTGAGAGGATTAAGACAAAAATCAATAGGCAAACTACAAGAACCCTTAAACAATAAATGCTACCTCAAAACACTAACATCACGTCATCTGGTGGCTGCCAAAAATGGTTTGCTTTTTTTTGCTATAGCAGAAAGGGAGAGGCTAGCTCATTTAAAGTGGATTTTTTTGAGCCACTAATTTAATTAATACACTTCATAATTGTTCTAATCATCTCTTGAATGTTACCACAAAGAGAACGCTTTTCCTTTAGAAACTGTCATGACACAAATTTGGCTTCTTATTTCCTTGTGCAATTTCCCTTACTAGTCTGAAATTAAATATCTCTTATCAGAGTTGCTTTTTTTCCCTTCAGCCAGTACATAAATAAAATCACATTACAGACCAAGTATTCCACTCCTTACGCATATAAACAGTTTTAAATTTTAGGATTAATTTATATTAAGGATTTTACAGGATGAGGCTCTACAGAAGTACAACATGTTTAGTCAAAGGAAAAATGTGTATGTGTAGAATGAACAGAATTAATTTACAATACAATTTTTTTTTCAGTGTCATCAAACTAGATCAGTGGAGCTGAACCGACAGAGAGCCAGAGAAATCCTGCAGCAAAAAGTTGACCTCTTTTACAAAGGTGAAAATAGTAACATTTTTAAAGAGAAAAGAGCAGCTGAGAAGAAAAAGCAAGAAAAGAAAAAAAGAGCAAAGGAGACTCTAGAAAAGAAAAGGCATATTAAAGAAATGCAAGAATCAGATGCCAAATAAGTGTGAGAGAAAATATCGATTTGGCTTGTCAGGAAAAGAGTGTTTGTCACTACCCTTGAAACATGTGTTAAAAGTTTTCTGGCTTAATACTGTTATAAGACTTCATAATAAACACTATTAAAATGTTGAGTTTAGTGACCTGCTATTAGTGCAAGGCTAAAGTATTTAGCCCAACGTTAATAGCAGTCATATATTTCATCTTCTACTGTGGACATCCCAGTACACTCAGATTCAATATAATCAGTTCATTTGTGCCAAGTTTAGGACAGGTGTGATAAGAAAACAAGATCCATAAGATCTTAAGTAAATAGATGTTACAGGAAAACTCCATCCAATATAGTTAATGGAGGGGGAAAAAATAAAACTCAAGCACAAAAGCGTTAGAGATTGTGTCTAAATCTTCTCACAGTGAGGGGAGAATATTCTCAGCTGATTAAGTCACATAAAGAATGAGGACTTCTCCTGAAACATAGTCGGCCTTATCCTATAGTCCCTACTCAAGCAACTTTTTCATTTAAATCAGAATCCCCTTTATAAATTAGAGTAGACAGATTGGTTTTTTTTTTTTAAATAGCTCATCCAAACAAAAAACTTGGTTCTAGTAGGGTTGTCAATTAATTGCAGTTAATGCAAGCGATTAATGCAAAACAATTAACATGATTTTTTAACGAGTTAATCGCACAGCTTTGTTTTGACCATCTTCACTTACTGTACTACATTACTTGGTGGACATTGGCACAGTTCTACTGTGTTTTCATGATCTAGAGTGATTAAATATCAGAAAAAGTTAATGGAGCAAAGCAACAAAAGTTTAGGTCTTTTGAATGGGAAGTTTATTTTTAAGAAACTTCTGGATGGTTCTCTGGATAAAAAGACAGTTATCTGTAGCTATTGCAAGGCTGAGTTCCAGTACCATTGAAGGACTTCGTCTGCAGTACACATATGCGCTAAACATGCTTTCGCCTCCAGTTCTTGTGCTACAGATAACCCATTGACAGCAAATGATTCCTGCCAGCCGCGACAGAGTAGGCTTTCAGAGTTTCAGGATTCCTACAAGCCCATGGACCAAACAAAGTACAACAATTTAACCAATGCTATTGCAAAGTGGATAGCTATGGACTGCAGACCACTGTAAACGACAGAGGGTTAAGAGGTGTTATTCAAATTGCATCTTCCAATCAGTGATCTACCTTGCTCTCTCAAGAGCCCATTGCATCACGAATACTTGGTCTATATCGTAAGACTACAAAGTTGGAGCTTTGTACAGCACTCAACCCAAGGTTTAAGAATCTGAAGTGCCTTCCAAAATCTGAGAGGGAAGAGGTGTGGAACATGCTGTCAGAAGTCTTAAAAGAGCAATACTCTGATGCAGAAACTACAGAACCCAAACCACCTAAAAAACCAACTTTCTGTTGGTGCCATCTGTCTCAGATGATGAAAATGAAGGTGCGTCGGTCCACACTGCTTTGGATCATTATTGAGCAGAACCCATCATCAGCATGGAAGCATGTCCTCTGGAATGGTGGTCAAAGCATGAAGGAGCATACAAATGTTTAGCATATCTGGCATGTAAATACCTTGCAACACTGGCTACAACAGTGCCTTGCGAATGCCTGTTCTCACTTTCAGGTGACACTGTAGTAAGAAGTGGGCAGTATTATCTCCCATAAATGTAAACAAACTCATTTGTCGTAATAATTGGCTGAACAAGAAGTAGGACTGAGTGGACTTGAAGGCTCTAAAATTTTACATTTTGTTTTTGAGTGCATGTAAAAAAAATTCTACATTTGTAAGTTGCACTTTCACAAAGATTGCATTACAGTACTTGTAGAAGGTGAATTGAAAATACTATTTTTTGGTTTTTACAGTGCAAATATTTGTAATCAAAAATATAAAGTGAACACTGTACACTTTGTAGTCTGTTATAATTGAAATCACTGTATTTGAAATTGTAGAAAAACATCCAAAATATTTAATAAATTTAAATTTATATTCTATTATTTAACAGTGCGATTAAAACTCTTTTTTTTTTTTTTTAAATCATTTGACAGCCCTAGTTTTTAGACATTACATCTTAGTCATCACATCTTTCTTCAACTGACAATCAGACAAAGATGTAGAGGATACTGTAGGTTGAAAGCAACTTCGGTGAGTTCACTCATCTGAACCATTATGCAAAGTGTCCCTTTCTCAAAAACTATTATCCCCGAACATCCGTAGTTTGCACTGATAAGTATCCCTTTCTTTGGGTTTCATTGTCCAGTTTCAGTAGTCAGTTTTACTTAGTTTATCTTGCAGAATTTTGATGCGACTGAATACCAGTGTTATGCCATTGTCTTTACTATATCATATTACACTTGAATAGTTTCACCTCAGAAAGGGTCTTTATTCTGTTTTTTAAATTTCTTCCAATTTATTTGAACAGGGAGCATCTACTCCATTTTATTAAAGATGTTGATTTAAAATCACAAGGAAAAGAGGTGATCTTCCATCTTAATGGAGTGGTGGTGGTGGTTTTTTTTGTTTGTTTGTTTTTACAAGGTGTCAAATCACATCCCTAGAACTTTACAGTATATTTCATTCTTACACATACCCCGCACTTTGCTTTTTATAAGTAGTAATGGAGCCGGCAAGCAGCCTTACCTGCTTCCTGCAGAGATTAACTGCATCAGGCCAGGGCTGTGGCTGGAACGTCTCCAGCAGTCTACAGCACTGTTCCCTAGTCTGTTCCTGGACTTGAGGCTCCTGCATGAAGGTTAAACATTGGCCTATCTACTGAGTTCTTTTGCACTTTTAACATAAGGTTGATTAAAGTGACTGTACATACAGTTTTAATACAAATTGTTAATGAAAATAAGCTTTATTACATCAAGTAATAAATACATACAAAGATGCAAATAACAGTTTTAGTAACTTATCCAGAATTTTGTGTTTTTTTTGGCAAACTTACAATTGAAATCTTCAGCCTTAGGGTGAAAATTAGTTTTCTGGGACCTTGTTATTGTTTGTTAGGTTGCTCTATCTTCTGTATTTATAACTCATGCACTTTAAATGGACTCCAAAGCACTAACAATCATGCAAATGCTTATGCAAAAAAAGGGTTATTTCTAAGCAGGGTCTATGCTGTATGGCAAACTGTGAGTATAGCCGACTACTAGGTAAAACATGCTACCAGTGCAGTTATTTAAAAAAAAAAAAAAATCCTTAGAGCTTATGTCAAAGGTTGAAAGATTGACCATGTGGGGTTAAGTGAATATAGTCAAAGAAATAAAAAGAATGAGACTGTGGCTGGATAAGAAAGGAACTTAAGTATAGTCTGTGGGAGAGAAAGCATTCCTCTGCATGCAGTTTTAGTCTTTTAGAAAGAATTTGGGGCGTTTAACTTCTAAAAAAAATGCAAACCCTCAGTAAATTGAAAAATCTTCTCATTCTTAACTGTACATTTTCATAAGGGCAAAAAAAGGGTAAAACATTCAAAATAAAAAGATTCATCTGCATGTTTCAAAAGGAATAAGTATTACATTTTTCTTCATAAAGAGATGGAAAGTCTTGTAACTTAATTAGTAGGCTAGGATCTTGCATTCCGTTCAGTCTCAGCCAAGCATTCCCGAACTAATCCTCTAGCATGAATGATGCCTGCAAAAGAACGGTAGATTTTTTTGAAAGCATCAGATTAGGTGACAGTTGAAATTCAAAAAAGTGGTTTAATGTTTCTGTCCTAAAATAGCTTGCAAGGGTGCTGCAATGTACCATAACTAAGGCGGCAGCAGCAGCATCCCCCAGCGTCCCAACTGCAGTTAAAGCAAGTGAGTTTGGTTCTCCTAACTGGCATCTTTTCGCAGATCAATGCCAGAAGGGACCATTCTGTTAAACTTCAGTTAAAAATCTGTCCTGACCAAAACCCTGAATCCAGGCACCCGTGAACTTAGGTTCCACATTCAGCGATGGATCTAAACTTTGCAGCTCAGGCCTATTTTAAAGTGCAAATCTTAATTTAAAAAAAAAAATCTTGCATAATTGTAATTTGAAAATCTGCTAAAAATAACCTAATCAAAAAGCCTGATCTGTCCATTGAGTAACTTTCTCTTCGAGAGGGTGTCTCTCAACTCAGAGCCATAACTGTCACCTTGAAAGTCAAAGTCTAAGCTCCGCCAGTGTTAACAACACAGAGTGCTAGCGTAGATAGGCCATCATTTTAAGCACCATGTTGTCTAACCTTGCTCAGGTCTAGTTGACATGAACTAGAATTTTCAAAAGCAGCTTAAGTCCCAGCCTTGGTTCTTAAAACACTAGTGGCAGATCTAGACTAGTGCTACCAAAGTTCACAGCAGTGGAGTCTGAGCTTGTGTTTGGTCCAAGGGAGATTTTGGCATGACTTGCCCAGTGCAGACAGGCTACACTCTGGCACCAAGAGAGAATAGTTTGGTTTCTGCTCAGAGCTCACCACTACTGCTCCTTAACTGGGTGGAGGAGCTGCTGTTGAGCAGCAGGAGATGCTTAGCCTCAAACTCAAAGTACGTTGCCTCTGCAGAACTGCCAGCCCGGAAGCGTCAAGGTCACAGAGCAACAGCCAGTGATTGCACCCAAAGAAATAATTGCTCATTAAATAGTTACACTAGAAAATTTAGGGATACAAGGATTTTCAAAGGGTTAAATATATATATGCACACTAGGAAATTGGTGCCTGTACCTGTAGTATGCACAGATATGGACTCAAAGCAGCACATTAGACTTTATGTGGCAAGGTGCCCAGTTTATGCAGCAGAGCTACCCTGAATTAGGTATAAAACTGAGACAGTTAATTGATTTCAAAGCTTGATAGCTTGTGTGGCTTTTAAGCTGGTGGAGCACAAAACAGAAATCTCCTGCAGGAGGAATGCTCCATATAGCAGATACCTTCCCGCTCCCATGTGGGACACCTGCAAGATTCCCCCAGACCTGTCCCATCATACTACTGTATGCTCCCCCCACACACACTTAATTCCTCCTCCTAGGAACCTCCTCCGCTATTGAGTGGGCAAGTTTTTGAGTCAGAAGATGTCAGAAAAATTGGCTGCTATCCATGATGCCTATATAAATACATACTCACTGTAATGTAGGAAAGCACAACTTTAATCTAGCAACTGTTCAGCAAGCAATTGTTCATGCTGACAGTCTGAACTTGTCCAGGTCTCTGCTACGTCCTTCTCATTAGCCTATTGCCACTCTTGATCTATTTTGACACTGACTCAGCCAGTGCAATAAAGAGACTCCTGCAACATTGATTTTAGTCAGCCCAGATTCCACTTTACCACTCTTATCAGCAGACTTTATCACATCCCTTCCAAGAACAGCTACTATTTGTTTTATTGCACATGGTGGCAGAAATATTACTCTCCCCTTAATAGTTGGGCCTTAAGAACAGCTGGCTTAATGCCACCTTTGCACCACCCAGCTGCTGGGCTAATCAGCGACCATTTTAGCCTCTGGCACAGGATAGAGCAGCTTGGGGAACTCCCTTGCACCCAACTGCCCATGGCCCTTATGGGTCACTCCAGCAGCACTTCAGGAATGTCATTGACATGCCTCCTGCACGGGATGGTGTGGAGCTGGCTACACCAGCTGTAGGGCATGCAGTGATTTCCCCAACCAAGAGGAAAGGATACTTACCATCCTCTTTTGTTGGCCAAAAGGAACTGTGGACCACAGATGAACTAGGCCCTTAGACTCTAGTAGCCTCAGGCTCCCTTAGATCTACTTACATCTGCTTATTGATGTCTAAACAGGTGGAATTTACAAACAGAGGAGCCAGGAGGAGTGATACATGTGATAGAGGAAGATGCTGGATAGTTCAATGTTAGCCTCCCATTTGTTTCCCCCCCCCCACATGCCTCTCTACTGGCCCCTCAATATGCAAGTTACCACAGCGTAGAATCTCTTCAAGCAAAGTTTGAGGGCCGGCTGGAAAAGTGATGTATAAGTGACACTTTGGTACATGGTTTGGAGTCTAGTTTAGGGGATTCTAAGTAAGTCTTTTGGGAGCCTACATTGATATGTACACAGTGAGGGGGCTGGAAGAAGGTGCAAGTTACGCCCCTCTGTGCACATGAAATACATTCAGTCATTGGTTTGTCACGTAGGAAGTG